TGTCCCGCTAGCGGGGCTGTGTCCCGCTAGCGCTCACCCTCGCAACCCGCACGGTGTGCTCGCGGTGCGGGCGGTCCTCGAGCTGGCGTGGTTAAGCGGGGCAGCCGGGACGCGGGGCGCCTTGTTATTGTTGGCGGCACGTAGGCGGCAGAGCAACTGGAGTCAGCAGAATGGCTGACACTGGGTCGTGGTAGGGAAGAGGGTGCGGGAAAGCGCACACACAGCCATGTTAGTAAAGTTCCAGGCTGCTGTCACCGGGCATGCAGGGGTGTCCAGTGGAGAAGGAAAGGCAGCGTGGAGAGAGTCTGTGAGTGCTGGCAGGGAGCCTGCGGACTACTTCCTACGTGATGAGGAGTCATGTGCTATGTCCAGGGAGCAGAGAAACAGCCCTTGTTTCAGAAAGTTGCACTGGTGGCAAGAGCAGAATAGAAGGGATCAGACAAGGGCGGGAAAGTGAGATGGAGGCTCTAGTGCAACTGAGGTGTGGCACCCTGGGACCTCCAGGTCTGAGCTGGTGTGGTGGGAATGCAAAGGAAGGGAAGGTCGAGGGATTCTGAAGCAGAATCAGAAACACTCAACTGAGTGGATCTGGGAGAAAAGTTCACAGAGATGTCCAGCAAGACTTAAGGTTTCTTGCCTGATTGCAAGGACAGCACTTGTAGTAATTTAAATGTTCTCATGAGAGTGAAACTGACCTGGAATTGGTATCAGAGTTTTTTTTTTTTTGTATTTTTGAGACGGTCTCGCTATGCAGTTAGAGTTCATTTTTGACATAAGTTTAATAGCAAGGAGTGGTGGTCACTAGCACAGTAGTTCATGGATCAGATGAATTGCAATGGTGGCTGTGCTTTAGTGTGCCAGGGAAGTGTCAGCCTGTCCTTCCGGCCCCTTTTCACACTGTCTTTCTAGCCTCAGTTCACCCTGTTTATGCTTAAGACCCTCTTTATGCAGGCTGGAGGCTTTGGCCTGGAAATACGCTTGCCGCTAGCGGTGGAGCACCTCCCACTCTACCCAGAGGCAAAGGGTGATCTGTGCTGACAGATGCATACATGTGGAAATACACTGCTGTACGCTGTGGGAATCAGAATATGATGTTTGAAAAAGAATTAGAGATCTAAAGAGTTTAGTAAATCCAGGGAGAAACTGGGCTATGTAGGAAGAAATTATAGAGTAAGATTTAACAACCAATCTAGGCATGTAGCCACAAGTACAAAAAGGACACAAAGTTAGTAAAAGAAAGAAGTATCAAAAGATGGGGGGGAAGAAACATAAGTGAAAAAATAACCCCCAAAAAGGAAACAAGCCAGTGTTTTATATACATGTTATATATTATGTGTGTGTATATATATACCTTTGTACATGTATACATATGTTTTAAATAGTGTAGTAAAATTATATTGCCGTGTACACTGCAATTTAAGAGTAATGATTAGGTTAAGAAAACAATATGTATACTACTGTTTTTTTCTTTCCTTTTGACACTACATTTGTGACTTCAGAAGGCCACAAAGGAGCAGTGAAGGTGAAGGGCCTGTTGAATGCTGTGACTGAGGTGGTGGATACCCAGCTTAATACAATACCAAAAATTCTTAATACCCAAGTAAAAGGAAGCACCACTGGTGATCCCTATTTCACAGCGTGGGGCCTGGAATTAAATGGCAGGTGAAGCACAGTGCCTGAACATAGGTAGGGCTGGGGGGTGTCGATGGGGAAGGACAATCCAGCGGCACTGCATGGAGGAGGAGGGCTGGGAGCCTGGTCTGCTGGAATGAATAAGGACAAATACAAATAAAAGACCGTGCCTGGGACTAGACCAAAAGCATAGTAGAAGAAACTCAGTTTTTTCAGACTGAAAAATGGGGAAGGGTTATGAGGGGACTTGAACACCATTTTAAAATATGACGTGGGGGCTGGGGATTTAGCTCAGCGGCACAGCGCCTGCCTGGCAAGCACAATTCCCGGTACCAGAAAAAAAACAACAACAAAAAACCCACAAAAAACAAATAAAATATGACGTGGAAGAGGATGTAGATCTTTTCCTTCATGCTCCAGAGCAATAAAAGTATGTGGAACAAGAGTATGTCTGTGGAAGGAGACAGAAAAGGACTGATTTCAGGTCAAAATAATAAAATTTTACTACACCTCGGAGGAGTAAGGTGTTCCTCAGCAGCTCTGCTCAGTCTCTCCAAGGTGCTGTGTGGAATTTCTTCCGTGGAATGGGATAATGCATAAGATTTCCTCTCAGCTACACTCAATTGCAAGACAAAGATTTGAAGTACATAAAAGGTCTTTAATGAAACATGCTGATGTTGTCTTCATATTTTGGTATTTCCCATTTCTTCATGATTTTTTTATTTTTTAATTTTTTTATTTTAAAGAGTAAAAGAAGGATAACATAATAATAGGGGGGACTTAGCGAATTACAGACAAAATGGTAGGAAATTATCAATGGTTATCATTTTACATATTGTTATCTACAAAATAGTTTCTCAGGAAAACAAATAGACAAATAATAGTGAGTTAGAGACAAAAGAGGTAGGAGATTATCAACAGTTGTTGTGCTATACTTTGGTATCTTCAAAGTGGCTTCTAAAGAAAATAAATAGAGCTATACATGAGTGACCTATTGAAAAATCATTAACTATTCTCAATGGTTGTTGTAGGAAACACATAATAATAAACATACATCCATTTATGAAATAGGAACATTACAAACTTTGCACAGTTATGGATAGATTAGTAGGAAAATATCAATGGCTGCTGTAATACATGGTGGTATCTTCAAAGTGGTTTCTCAGGAAGACAGAGATATGCAAGAAGGATCTAATAAGTAGTTACAGCCTAAGGGTTGTCAAAAATAGCATATTACCTCCTCACCAGTGACTCCTTTCACTGAGGTATGATGGCTGGAAGGAAGGCCAGGATTGAAAAGAAGGACTGAGAGACTTGCACCTGTGTCTAGCAACAGGCTGTTTTCTTGTTCCTCCATAGTCATGATTACCCAGGACTCCTCAATGGAGATGATATTTTCATGATTTTAACAAAATCTCTAGCCTGTCTTTATAATCTGGACTAGGTGAATTTAAAGTAATCCTATCTAGATGAAAACTATTGCATTTCTTTCTTTCTTGTTTTCTTTTTTTTTTTTTTTGGTATCAGGAATCGAACTCACAACCTCACACTTACCAGGCAGGCATTGTGCTGTGGGCTATATCCCCAGTCCAACATTCACTTTATTTTATTTTATTTTATTATTTTATTAATTTTTATTTTTTTGGTACCAAGAATTGAACTGTCTGCTTCATGCTTACCAGGCAGGTACTGTGCCACTGAGCTACAGCCCCAGCCTACATTTCTAACTATTTTGGTAGAAATGCAATTATTTGGCTTTGATATGAGTTCTCACTATATACATGTGTCCCTCATTTTGCATAGAATGCAATAGAAAAACTATTAGACTAGGAGTCATTATGACCTAGTTTCACATGATACATGCATACCTATGTTCATAGCAGCATAATTCATAACAGCAAAATCCTGGAGACAGCCTGTATACCCACCAACAGACAACTGGGTAAAGAAAATCTGGTATCTGTAGATAATGGATAGATATATAAAGAAGGGCAAATTTGAGACAAATTTGAAAATGAATGTACCTGGAAAACATAATGTTGAGTGAAATAAATCAAACACACACACACTTGAATACCATATGGTATCTCTCATCTGAGTAAGACAAAGAACAAATTAAGAGAAAATAAAAGAAGGATAGAATGAGATAAGGGGATGGATATCTTGCAGATGGGAAGGGGTCCATGGGACAGAGGAGAAGAGGTGAGGGGAAGGGATGGGGAAATAG